TCGAGTTCGAAGCTGATTTTTTTACGGAATATCAAAAGATGTTAGTGCCTTTATATAAATAATTATATTTGAATTTAATTTACAAACTGATTTTTCTTAAGCGTTCCAAAAATTAAACTAAATAAATTAATTACCGAAATACTAGTAATATGTCGCCAGAAGATTTACAAGTCGTCTATCATATAACATTATTGTTGAATCGCTCCGTCTAATCCATGCTGACTGGCCGACGGCCCGCCGCCATCTGGCCCCCACCAGCCGCCATGTTCCGTTCCTCCCCGCGTCCCACCCAACGCCCCCCACCGCAATTACACCTATCCGGCCCTTTCGTTTGCGTCCCATAAGTTATCTTACAATGTAGATAATAAAGTTTAATATAGCTGAAACGTATACGGGTGGGTTGTAACCGCATCCCTTCGGAGTGGTCATGTCGTCGCCTACGTGCTACGTGACGCGTCGTAGAGCTATACTAATAATTGCAACGGTTCTCTACGAGTATCTGGCGGCTCTCTCTCAGATTTATTGAGTATCTAATTGGTGTTCTTAGTTTTATTAAACTCTGTAACTGATAGACGTGAGTATAATAAAGTTAAACGTCGAAACTATTACTGTTGTTTTATTGGTGTTACTCTGATTAATTGGATAAATAAGTTGGCAATAATATTTAGTTAAAATAAGATTTAAGTAGGTATATAGATAAGGTTATATGTGACATATTAATTTAATTAACAGATTGGTTGATTGTTGAGCTAATTTAAGCAATTTTTTTTATAATGTAGAGTTTTCGGTTTTATCGAATTGAATCTCTGTGCTGTGACATCACTCTGCACGTCATTGAGTACAAAGATGTTTTTTTTAATACATTTGAAATGTTTGCTTCTTAATTTGACTATATCGGAATTTAACCTGGGAACTACAGAGAATTCGATGTGAAAGCCAGATTTTTGATAACAAAAATTAAGAATATTAATTTAAGAATCAATGAGAGGCCTATGCTCAGCAGACGGCGTCGTACGGCTGTTGATAATGTAAATATTCTTAAGGCCCTCTTGTACTTACGCTTATGTTCCCATATGAGAGTAAAGACGCGCTCGCATGATTTCATACATTTTAATGGCCGATAAAAACAAATGTAGCTATAAAAAAGATTTTAGCGATAAAAAGAATATATCAAAACCTATTTTTGTATATATTTTTTATAAAGTTAATTTTTGTATATATTTTTTATTTCGACCTTTTACGATTCTTTTGTCGAGCCAATTATTGAAACTTATGTTTCTATTTTTAGCGAGCAATCGATCATATGTTTAATTTTCATAAAACGATTATTATTCGTCAAATATTAGCATAGTCTTAGAATAAAATCGGTTTCAAAAGTGATAATTTCGTAAAATCTCGCCTTAATATTTGGTATCAAAAGTCTGGGTCTAAGTTTCAATTGAAGTATTATGAATCATTTGAATTATCGATAGATGTATATATATTTAATATTAGAATGTCATCAGTCGATCATCGATCCCTGTAATTAATGGGTTGGATAGAGGCCGCGGTGTGATTGTGTTGGGTGGTAATTCATTATGTCCAGGTGTGGAATTTATTGCCTTAATGATAAGAACCACGCCCTAGAATGAATTCTATTTTAACTTGCACGTTGACTATTTGGGCGAGAAATATTACTTGATTCTCTAAAACTTTAACTTATTCTTTTAATATTCTTAATGAAAAATCTTCGAAAATCCACTTTATCCCTGGCACTATGAGATTAGACATGAACCCATCACAATCTGGGCGAATGCTCTAACCACTACCCAGGATCTAAGAGGACTGTCGAATCTTTCAAGCACTAGTTACTTTTTCGCTAGTACAGAGCGTATTCTCATTAATGTTCAGGCATTCCACCCAAACGGCCGAAAGATAAATTTTTACAAATATTTAAACTTTTGATAAAAAGGAAAATTTGTTCTTATTATTATATTATATTTCGAGTCCCATCTAAGAGTGCTAGGGACAAAGTGAATTTTTAAGCATATTTGATTAATAATATTTTTCAGTATAGCACTGTGATTTATAAATCTGGATGTATTAAATCGGAATTATACTTTGAACAAATGTATATATTTTTATGCTTACTCCATTCAAAATCTATATCTCTCCAATCTAAAACTAGTTATTATTCATGCAAAGAATGATTTTGTATGAAAAGGTTTGGCATTAGCATTTTCTCTATGGAAAATTCCAGTTCTCATTTCAACGAAATTCGTTTGATACTTATCAAATATCCATTTTGGTGTGATTTATTACGTCTTGTATAAGTAAAATATATTAATAGATATGGTTGAATAACTTGATTGAATAAATCTTTGTGTTTTAACTTTGTAATTTCTATCGATATTTTTTTATGGCTGTTATTGAAAATACGCTCTTATTCATTGTTGAAATTCACAAACTTGTGTCGTTAGTATACCTATCGGTACTGTACCGATAGTGTTGTAATACTATTATGGCCTTAATAATCAGTTATGCTATCGATTTGTTAAATGATATTGATCTATCGACTATTCTGCGATGTGTAGATTTTTTTTTTGTTTATTTAAATAACGTAAGATACCTACATCATTATTGCAATATATTTCTACTGCCATGTTGTTGTATTATCAATTATCATCACTCAACAGCAGTTCATTAGTGGATATAGGCTTTCCCACAATATGCTCCATTTTCCCCTGTCTTAGGTTATTCTTGTTCCTTATATTATCAGTACACCTTTCTAGAGGTTATCTTACACCGTGATTGCGGCCTCGGAGTCTTCACTGTAGAACTCGCTTTTCTTATCAATTATCGGTTCGACGGCAGATAAGGTCAGCCTATTCGTCAGTTTGCTAATCCCGTTTGTTGTGTCGATGACTTTGGTTCTCTAACTTATTGGAATTTTAGCCGAGCTCCGAGCATAGCATTTTCCATAGCTGAGCGCTGAGTGACTGAAGTATATGAAATAGTAATAAAAGCAAATGACTGATTGTATTTATTAAATATTATCTATATCCGATAGATAAATTCTAGGGGCTCTTTTTAAAAATACTGCGCCCATCTGATGGATGACATTTAATAAAAGTATAATGTGCACAAAATACACGATGATTTCCACCTATAAGCTTTGGCAATCATTGAGCTACCCTAGGCCCAACAGATCTGACGAATGCTCGAAACTGTTATGGCATTTTTTTAAATACATTTAATAGAGTGAGTGATATACCTATTAAAATCTTGTGAATTAAAATCTTTTACGGGAGTCGGGAACTTAGCGAAAATGCTATAACAATATTTTAATAGATTCTTGACTTTTGTTTAAGGTGAAAATGTTATCTTATTTATCAGCAAGCAGTGTGAATGTAATATTTTAACAAATGATTATCTGTTGTAATAAACTTTCATAGTCATATTAACATTAGAATAATTCTAAATCTGCTAGCTGATTATTGTGACTAGTTTTAAAGTTATATCGTTAGCGGAATTATCGTTGTTACACAACACTGTGTACACACAACACTAATATTCGTTGGAGCACAAAAGTGATTCAGCACATTTCCGTGGTTCGTTAAAAATAACTATGCCGCGGCATAATTAATTTACAGACTTTAATTATCTCATCAGGGCATAAAGTCATGACCAATTTGGCTGCGGCCGCTCTTATCAGCTCATCATATCAGACCGACAGCTCGCAATTAATTACTACAATGTAATATAACGAGGAATCATTTGTAATTAGCGTAGCGAAGAAAGCTGACAGAGTTAACAACTTTTATCGTAAGTATTCACTTACGGGTATTCGTAATTCGTTTTTTTTTTTAAATTAAATTTAATAAATAAGGTCGCTACAACGCGAACTTGTATTTTTTTGTCTACAAAAATACAAAGCGATTGGTTTTCTACAATATGATTATTCGTCTCGAAATCAAATTCCTTTTTTTGTGATATTTTTTAACATGCGAGTCAATTTGTATTTGATATACAAGTATCAAATATAAATTAACCGTTAAGTGTCAAGACATTGAATGATTTCACACTTAATATAACAGTTATCTAGAGATTATATTATTTAAATAAAATAAATTTTGCTACTTTATTATGCATATAACTCATCGTATGGGTATGATTCACTCACATCGTTTAAACCTTCGATATAATATACGCAATATTGTTACTTTAAAGAAAGTGAACGGTTATTAGATTTTAATACATTATATAATGTCACATTTAAATAAATATACGTATTTCATTTAAACAGCTACAATAGATGCAAGTTAAACAAAATATCACATCTTTTTCCTGGTTTTTTATTTAACCTCATATGTAGACTATATAAAAAAAGTTTTCACGATTTTCACTTGCTACCATCATCTCTTAGATCCCGAGTTTGATTCAGGGTCGGCTGATTGTAGAAAATTGATTTTACTCTTTGGGTATGGATCCCATAAACAATGTAAGCTCTCTCCCCGACAACTACGTAACGCATCTTGCTTATGTTACTCGCCTAATATAGAACTTAATACGGTGGAAAAGTTTTAAAAATAGGATCGTTACGTTTGATAGAGACATTATGTCTATTTCATTTTGCAAATGTGACAACAACTAGATATCACAAATGGTTGTTAGCTGTATCCGGCGTTTATATTAGTCAACCATTACCTTATCATGACCATTTTTTTATTCCAATGCTATTATTAGGAGAATAGAAGATATAAATTCTGTAATATAAACTCCTTTGCATAATTCGCATATTTATGCAGATGCATTAACGCATAAGCATTAATTAACATTTTATGTCTATATCTGTCATGTTATTTCACACATCTGTCTTATTTCCATTTGTAGCATATTTTTCTTTTGTTAAACATACATTAATGTATAAAATTAATATAATTATATATGAGTGGCATCTATGACAACAATTAGTTCAATTCTCATATAATGCGATTTGTCTATTAGAAAACTAAATTGCAATGGTAATAAGAATTGAATTTCAATGTTTGTGCAATTTTCTTACTTATTTATAACACCTTAAACTAGTTGCTTAGTCATTTGTTTATAATAAAATAACTTTGGATACGTATTTTACTTATACAGAAAATATTGTAGGTTAGTGCAAAAGTTTTATCACTATTTTTGGAATTGTAAATAATATTCACGTATTTTCTCTCTTTCTTCGTAATTATGTTTAATTTATGATATTAAAGCGAAAGAAAAAAATGTACACTTAGACTTATTACAGTTCTGTTATAAAACATTTATACAGCCTAGTTGTTGTATTACTAGTCTATAGTGTTTAAAGTGAAACATAACTTATTTTCCCGCAGATCGTTCTCAACTCTATGCACCGGTATCAGCCACGGATTCACCTGGTGAAGGTCAGAGACGGTGGCGGACCCATCACTGACCTAACGAGAGAGCAACACCGCACCTTCGTGTTCCCCGAGACTGTATTCACCGCGGTCACAGCATATCAGAACCAGCTGATAACCAAACTCAAGATCGATTCTAATCCTTTCGCCAAAGGATTTAGAGACTCTTCTAGGTTAACAGATTTTGATAGGTGAGTTTTATTTACGTACTTTTCAGCTTTTTACATTAAGTTCTTGATAGGTATATGGTTGTATAAGGGGCCCTTAGAAGCACCGATGGCAGATTTATTTGTTTATTCTCGATGATAGAAAAACTTGGTTTTCAATGGCGAAGACATTAAAAGTCCTAAGATGGTATCTGGCATTAACATGGTATCTCTAGCAATTATACCAGCGCGATATAACCAAAACTCATATTTAAGTCTGTATTTTCTTACTATATTCATTCTAATATTCTTATTAGACTATAAAGTCTTACAAGTTTTTTGTTGTAATGACTTATATTTTCAGACACCTTACTTATGTAATGAAACGAATGATTGAACAGCGATTTTCATTCGATTTTTGGAACATTTACGGGATTCGTAACTACTAGACTAAGTTACTGGTCTCGTCAAAAAATTTAAGTTAGACCAGACCGTAGGTAAATAATAAAAAAAAACAAAAAGTATAGACAAAAAATAAGAGTTTGTATTACATAGTAGGATCAATATCGGTTTAAAGATTTACAATGAGAGTTTATTCTTAAAATGTTAATGATGCATTTTTGGAGCCAAAGAGCAAGTTTGATAAATTGGCAGGTTATTAGCAACAGTTGAAAGGCATTAGGTCGGCCACCCTGTAATTTGCTCAGCGGTTTTAACATGAATAAAAGATTAAAAACACGCTCGCCCGATTGCGCCGAGATATGATCCCGAATGGTTATTGTGATGCTTAATTAGGGATAAGGGTTATCTACTATTTATAACGACTGAATAGAACTGTCTGTGTCGAATAGCTTCTTGTAAAAGTATCAAAGAGTTTTTATAGTATTCACGTTTCTTTTTCAGTCAACCTAGGATCCTAAAAAATATACTGAAGTCAAAAGCTACATAATTATCATTAAATCCTCGCTAGATCTCGTTTTAGGATATTTTTCCTTTTCAATATTTTCTAACACGAACAATTTGTACAAATAAAATTATACACATAAATGTAGTAGTAATAATTATCCTACAGTTGATAGTTATGGGCAAACTAAATCTACTGCAACTATGTTGTCTAAACTTGTTTGCACGTAGACCTTTCCATTGTTGCCCTGGCTTATAATTTAAGATTTTAGTGTAGGTATTAAAATTTATATGACCATATTGTTTTATAGTTATTTTATTAAAGTGTTAGTTTCACGTACTAACTAGAACTTGTTTATTTTACTACTAATCGCATTACAAATAATATAGATGTTTTTCACGACTTAATCATACATGAAGTCAGATGCAAAAATCAATCAAATGAATATATAAAAAAATATCAATCACTAGGTTTGTATTAATTAATTATAAAAGTAAATCAATTTAATTTCCCGTGTTCTTGACCGCGTTGGAGATTTATTTTGAATAATTGTAGGTAATATCTACTTTCCGGTTTGTGTTTGTTTGTTTTATTATGGTAATATAATTTAATCGGACGTCCCAAAGGAAGGTTAAATAATAACACAGTCATTTTTACTGTTGTCACGTTTGTTTTTGTTGAAAGTTTCGTTCCAACAGACTTTAAGTTTTGCGAAATTTCATTTTGACTTAATGATTAATTTGAAAGTATTGGAATGATGGCGCGACGTGTAAGGCGAGAATTAGCCGTCAGGCATATGAGGTCGTTCCCATCGGTGGCCATTACCTTTGGTTTTCCCTAGAGAACGGGTGAGAATCTCGTGAGAATTCAATATTCTCTTCATACAGATACAAGATATTTTGAAGTACAGTTAGTCTAGCACTGTAAATAACATAAATGCTTAGTTGAGTAAATATTTATTGAAAAAAAAACACGAAGTAATAAATTCATTTTCAGAATTAAAGTTTTTATTCATACTGATTTTGCAACATACCTACAAGCATTATTTAAATATAAAATGACTAATAATACAATTTATTATACAAGAAGATTCTGCAGTACATAAAAATTGATCAAAATGACCACAAAAAATGCTTGTACATAAATTTTTGAGCTTGCAAATTTTAAGGCGATTGAACAATTGAAAATAATAGTTCTAAATAAACTTAAAAAAACATGCTTCGAGGTTCATTAGTAAACAATACACACACAAGCAAGCAGGCGTTGCCATCTCGACGGCCGGCCGGCGGCGGCGGCGTGGGTAATCACAGGGCCCGCCCTCATTATGCCCTAAACGACAAATTAAAGCGCATTTCTATTATCTGCCCATCGCAGGACCGGTTCGTCCGCGAGACGAGACGTTTCGCTCGGGTGCAGTCTTAGCTTATGTCGATGATCGATCGCTTGTCCAATGAAGGTCATGTAACATTTATAAACGCTTTGATATTAAATGTCTTGGAAACTATGTGAGATTTTTTTAAAGTATTAAATATTCAAAATTTTTTTTATACCTAATAATAGCCTGTTTTTTTATTAGATGACCAGATAATAAAAACTTAGACAAAACGTACTTGTTAAAATGAACACATACATATATTTTTTGTTAAGTATAAGTTGTTATACTTATAAAACCTATAAAATCTTCCAAATTTAGAATTAATATGAAAATACCTCATAAAAATAATGACTTTGAGTACACGCATAGACAAATTTTTTTTAAGCTGTGTTCCATTCTTTTCATGTAGGTAGTCAAAAAGTTTATGGATAAATAATATATATGAATCTATCACTCATGGACTGTGGACATATACTATTTTAAGCACATATTTCCATTGGTTTATACATCTTTGTGAAATTTGATTTCCATAACAATTCATCAAATTCACAAGCTTTTCTAGTTAACAAATTGCTGAAGTCTTAGGAAATCTTTTCGAGTATCCACTTTATCGATGTAATTTTACGATATTACAGTTGATCAGTATCTATTATAAATAAATATCTAAATTGGTAGCCGATCCACCGCTCTAAAATTATACAATTGAATGATCACTCAATGGTCTAGTGATCTCGCAATATCTTCCAATCTGAGCATGATCGGCAAAATTATCGGAATATTAATAATCTAATCTGAGTGCAAGGCTACCGATTTGGATTAATTGATACAGCATAGGCGGTGCGATGATAGTTCACGGGCTAGTGATTGACGGCTAATTCGAGATGTTATCGATGCAATTACCGCGCATCCGTCCGCCGACACCACGCCACCTACCGATCTTCTTACGAGTCATGAGAAAATTCTGAGTTACGCAAGACCGCTACTGGGGTTGGTGATACCTAATTTATGAAGAGATAATCACATTTGAAATTTGATAATTACAGTACAGTGTCAGTTTGTATGTAAATGTAATTATTTACTTACAAATAATACAAAAAATATTTGATACCTATTTAAAAAAGGAAACGAGAGATTTGCTAAATGTTTATACTGATAACTGAAAAGTGTGTATTAATTAATTATGACTGATATTTCAATTCCAGCATTAAAAAAAATTTTTTTTTGAAATTATATTATCTATTTTACATAAGTTTTGTTTAATTGAGTGAAAAAATAAAAATATAAACTTTAAATGTTGAAAAGTTTGCCTATTTTTATTTATTTTAAGATACAAAAAGACATTTATGCGATCACAATATATTTTTTGTAATATTAGTTTATCGTGTATATAACGGAAACGGAATATAGGTACCATGCATATAACAGAATGAAAGGTAAAATAATTAGTACCTTCTCATATTATATATCGTGCTTTATATTGATAGGTGTCAGTCACTGGCAGCTACCGTACGCCGGCGCACTAATTCACTCCAACGCGTAGGAGTACTGATAACATCTCAATGCAAATTGCCACTCCGCCATCTGTCATTCCATTTGACGACTGTGGCCCGATTACATATCTTGATTAAGTGCCTACTTTCGCTATCCCATTGTTTGTCGGCTCCTAATATGGCTAAGCTTTCTATTCTGATTACCGAATTCACACCATAAATACGAATACTTAAAACAACGGCCTAATGGGGCACAGCCTTAATGACTTCCTTCGCTGACGTCCGAAATCGTCAGACAATAAGTATGATGAATTGCCATTGTGTGAGAGCGGAGGAATTATTTGGCTTGGTTGCCGAGGCGGCTTTTCATCCATTAATTAATAAGATACGCCCCTCGCTCAATCAGATCGGATATTTAGCGGGCGAGGAGTTATATTTATGTTCGGACGCACCTCTTTGTTAATTGCGTGCGATTCACTTACGAGCTAGAAATAACTTTAACGACAAGTGCGTGTACGCCTCGGGCGGAGCGCGACGTAAAGTACAGTTACGTCCCTTTAAATGTTTTAAGACGTCATTGCCGCAATCTCCGTTACTAAAGCGATGTAAGAAGTGAAACTTTCTACTTAAGCAACAAACAGATTTTCTATTAATCATTCAGAGATTTAATTATTTTTCGAAGTCTCAATGTATTTTGTTATTAAACAAAATGGAAAGTAGTATGTTTTAATCCTGATAGGATAATGGGAGTTGAAAGTATATATTTTTTGTATTAGAATACTCTATTCGAACTGGTATTATAAATAAAATACTTTTTCGAAAGGAAGTAATATTTTATTCATAATCAGATTGCAATATTATGAATTCAAGCACAATATCGATAAGCCTGAGCCGCGGCGTGGAGATATCGATAAGTTGCTCGACCCTAGCGGCGGCCTCTTACGTTGCCGCCCTGTAATTTGCCGGCGAGTGTTGGCTATTACCGGGATCATAATAAATACGCCATTAACGCCCCCACAGCCCCCGAAACGACATAACCACCCAGGCAACAGAGTCCGAAACGACGCATCCACCCGACCCAACAAGCTTTAATTCGTATTAAGCACATATTAGTGCTTACGCTCTTTCTGCGATTCTTCGTACAGGGTGTAAATTTAAAAACATTACTCTCACAGATTTTGGTTGAAAACTACTTATGAGTAATCATGGACTTCGTTGAGATTAAGAAATGTTATTTCTACTTGTTTCAATACACTTTTTAAAGTGCGAGTGGGATATTGTCCTATTTTAATGACCCCGATGCACAATTTGTTTTATTTTTATCGATGATTGGAGACGTATCTGCGGTTTTAGCAATATAACACATGTTGTTCTCTTTTGAAATGATTAAAAAAGAATCGAGGATAGGTGAGATAATAAACGGTTTCGTTAACACTAATATCCCATTATTTCTTTTTTTCTTGACTAAATAGTTGTGTTGAAAAAGTAATCTTCGAGAAATCTTCGGATATCGTGTGTGGTATACAATTATCTATGTTTTGGGGCACTACCTGTTTCGGTGTAGAACGCCGGCGCCCGCGGGCTGCGGTGATAGATTAAATTCGACACGGTATCTCGTGATGTCACGCCAATTCAAGCCCGAGCCATGCCAGCCATCGTCACGGTCGTTTAGCGCTTGAGAATCGTTTCTCAACTCCGCTCCGTGCCATAAGATGCAAAGACATTTCGCGCGTCAACTTTATCACTGATAGAAATTCAGTTAACTCTTGTCACCTTGGGGGAAATTCACATATAAAATTGTAAGCCTCCAGTTCCAATTATTTTACTAACTATCAATAAGAAGTATCAAAAGAAATTTCTATGCTTTATTGATGTGTACTCCCCTTAGTCTAGCTAGATAATAGGAAACACATTTTTTTTCTATTCCGTTGAGTGGCAATTATTATAGTTGTACTTGCAAGTAGCCAGATACTTACCAGAAGATGCGAAAATAGCGAATTCGCGAGAAGAGCGCGGTGGCGGTCGCGTCGACCTCCGGGAACCGATAAAGGGCATCGCACCGCGCAATAAAGGACCGAGACGCCTCGTTAACTGCGTTGCACTCGTAAACCACTTCGCCGAAACAATCGCTAGAGATATCACGTGAATAGATCCCATCTCCTCGTGCCCTCATCATGAAATTATTGTTTAAACTATAATAAACACTAATATCTAAAATATATCATTACATTTAACAAAATGAGGGCGTAGCAAACAAATTCACAGTAGCCGGTTAACGTGTGCATTAATAGTTTATGGTAGAAAACGCACGTGGTGGTTCCTCTTCCTCGAAGCAGATTTTATAGACTACGGACCACTGAAAACCAACGAACAGCCAACACGCTAAGTGCACGCCTTCGCAGAATCAATGAGGAATGCTCAGAATACTGAAATAGGAGTTTTCACTAGCGTTGTTATTTCCTGTTCCAAGCATTTCTTTACTTTCGAATACATTGTGAACGGTATCTGTGTAGAATATATTTTAATACTTGTTTTTTATTAAAGTTTGGATATTGGATTATAATGATTTCCTATTATATTTTTCAGAGATCCCATGGAGTTGATGTTGATGGAGCAGCAACTGCTGCGTTCGCCGCTGAGACTTTACGCTAGTGGTGCAAGTGCTAGTGATGAAGAGGCAGAAAAGCGTGCGGCTTGGGCGCGGACTCCACCGGCGTTGCAACTGTTGGCTCTGGGCGGGCGAGCGTGGCCTGCTGCGTGGCCCCAGCCTCTGGCATTGCCACCAGACCTTTGGATGCAGAAGCCCCCCACACCGCTTCGCTACTGCCCGTATCCCCCACCTGCGCACCCTTCTGCTCCAGCCTCGCGGCCCGAACACTCACCCTCGCCCCGACATCCACTGTGAACCATTCCTATAAACTAAACAAAAGTGCTGTGAAAAATAACGATAAAACAAAACTCTTGAAAGTGATTTTTTAATCTAGAAACTCTATAGATATTATTCAAATGTATTAAATTGTAAGATCGAATAGTTGTATCCTAATATATAATTTTCATGGTTCCTACCCGAAAAATAGAAACGATAATATTTTGAAATGTATTTTTTAAAACTAGTTTCATTATGAAAACATAATAGTAGTTACCTAAGCACCTTAATATCTTTAATACCTTTAGTATTCTTGTATGATGAAATCGCTAGAAAAGGTTTTGCAAATAAATTAATAATAGAAACATAATCAAATTAAAAAAAAAAGACTAACCAAAGATGTCCACATAGATTCTACATTCCACAAAGGGGAGAGTCGCAAAAAGATTTCTAAAAAGTTTCGAAATATATCACCTTTTAACTCAGAAAAGATGTAAATTGTTATTTTGCCGTGATAAAATTCCGAAATCACTTAAATTAGAAAGTTCTGTATATATGTAAAACTAACAATAATATATCTAATTACTTGGGCTCAAGGATAGTAAATATAGTTCATGTGTAAAGGTATCTTTAAACACAAAGTATTAGGGTTTAAAATGCCATTTCAATAGACATTTTAATATCCATAAAGATTGCATTGAAGTATCGAATATCGATATTATAATGAAAGAATCGAAATTTTATCACTGTATAGCAATTACAAACTATAAGAGAAATCCTCATTAAAATTATTAAGCAATGATAACAAAACTTTAACTTCACGGACTACTTGTAATTATTGTTATATTAAAATAAATCCCATGTCGGTGATATATCATTACTATTAATTTGAATAATTAAAGTACCTAAATGTGTGTATATTAAAGTTAATAATATTTATATTCCAGTTATTTAAGGTAACTAATACTTGTACGTATTGTATAGCAATTGATTAAATTATTTTTGTAGGATAAAACACTGTATATAATTTCACCTAGATGTTTGTAATAATAGGTTTCGATAAATCTTAATGTAATAAAATTAGTAAAGGAACATACTGCAAGATTGCTCATACCATAATACAGCACAACTGGTAGTCTAATACTAACTAACCGTCTTAATATAAAACCAGACCTACATATCATATAAGGTTTAAACTATTATCCGACGAAATTAAGTCAACATGTCTCAATTTGACGTTTCCTATTTTTTCATTGTGAATTTGATTTAGCTGGCCAATGCTTTAAACCAAGTACTAAATTTAGTCCTCGTTGTAAATATGACTATTGTTTTAATATGTGCTCGTATAACTTCATGTACACTGTTCAAAGGATTTTGTGTGCAGTGAATGAAATCTATCATTCTCCACTGTATAAATGTTCCGAATAAAATGTGCTAAAAATAAATGACTTCCTAAAACGCATTGGAATATTTTTTAATTGCAAAAATTAATCATAAAATTACACTATTTGAATAAAAATGATTCCCATATCAGTTAATCATCTTCGAATATAAAAAAATACAATACATTAAATAAGATTAAACAAACTTTACTTTGTATACTTTTATTAGTCCATTGTTAATGCAGTTCAGTTCAATATACTTGTAATTCGTACAAGCAAATTTAATTTTTAATTAAAATAGGTTGGCGAAATTTATAATTATTTTCTTCAGTTTTTCGAAATTACTTTGCTGGTGAACATTTTCTCGACAACGTTGTACATATTCTTAATGAAAAATGGTTAAAAATCCTCTTTGTTCCTGGCAATCTGAGATGGGTTCGATTTTTTAATCATTTTTAATTAAGTATATTTTTCAGTATATGCTATACGAATGCAAAATTGATAAATTATAATAATTGTTATACATATTTATTGATTATAAATGATTTCATAATTTCAATTCTAGGTATTATTTTAAGCAACTTTTTCTTTATGATGGTTTTAACATGTCTGGCTTTAATTTGGTTTATAATTAATTTTAAATCTAATTCTTGATTAATTTAGTTTTTTACGCTGTCGACTATACTATAAATATTATGTTGAAAAGATCGATAATTACTTTATAAGTATAATACCCAAAATTCTCTATAAAAAATAGTTTTTATCGTTAAGACTTATAATAAGAACTGCATTAAAATAATATTAAAATGATCACATTTGCATAATAAAACCATGTCGTTCTTTGATATTAAACTAAGAAGAATTTGTAATACGTTTTTAGATCTATTTAAATTGTGCGTTTTTATGGTGTGAGCGTTTTGCAAAAGTAGCGACACATATCAGGGTGCGACCCTAAGTGTTAATAAATGAAAACCAAACGAACTGTTGTTTTATTTACCTACATACGCACAGAGCATTAAATTCTTAAGAGGTAAAATTAGATGGTGTTCAATGAAACGGACTAAGCACACATTGCCGTTAATATTTTAGACTATGTCAATCAACACTCACTTCAAATGTGATTGTAATTAGTTAAAAATCCAACACTCACTTCAAATGTGATTGTAATTAGTTAAAAATCATTCTATTTGCTTAACATAACCTATAGTAAAATATAAAAAAAGCAGGCAAATAATATTCATCGTTAGCGCATTTTCGCTAACAACGCCAATTAATTTATTTCGTTTTCTTACTACTTATTCTTGCAAAAATCTTTTTGTCTTTATAAACGAAGTGCTTATAATTAATATGAATTTTATTTATATTTAATAATAATTCATTAATTTAAATAATAAATAATAAATAAGGCGTTAAAAAATGTGAAGGTAATTAAAAATAAATATACTAAAACTATCAAATTAAGACATTCGTGCCATCTATTGGCAGTGAACCTATACTTAACTTAATGATGAATACAGTTTTAATGTAGATATTATTATTAGTTGTATTAGAATCAAAAATATTATTAAAAAATACAGATTTATCTTACAAACAAGATGGACAAAAACTATACATATAGAAATCCTCCAAATCGTTGTATTTTTATGTGCACGTGATATATTTTCTCAAACAGATATTAATATTTCTTTTGAGTAAGTTTATGTATATTTGTGTTAATATTATATTTCAAAGTCGCATTTAGGTAATATGACTATTTACTTATTTTCATTTCCAGGGTTAGATAATAATATTTTTCAAACTCAAAGAATTTAAAAACTACATGGGAATAATTTTTTTCTCGTTTTAAGTAACTAAAAATGTACGTTGACGTTATAAGTAACTAATTATTTTATTTTGAAAAATATCTTGAAAATATTTTTTTCGAATTGTAATATAGCATTTTTATTAAAAAAAGGTATCAAAATTTGAATTTAGCCATTAGATTATGTAGTATAGAATAAAGCAATGAACCAAATGGTCAAGTACTTTATTTTAGACTTCACATCAAATAGAATGATTCAAGGGGAAGGTTTATAGATATGTATAATACAGGACCACGAGGGCGAAGCCGCTGGCGAATGATAGATTGCAATAAAAAATCAACATTAAAAATTGATATATTTTAAAACGTTGTTGATTTGGAATAAAAAAAATCGTAAATAAAAAAAATTGTTGTTATGAAACTAATGTCTTCATATTAATAATGGTTAATTGTATTACAGGTATAATTGTAATTAGGGCTTGGTAATTGTAGTAGATATGTAAACTGCGAAGGTCTGATTATATTTCTTGAATTTTTGTGAGTTTCTAGCAAAAGTTATTGGTAAATACCATGAGATGGCACTTGTTGATATTAAATAAAGTCTGCAGTATGCTTAAGAGACGAAACGTTTTCAAGCATGTCTTATTTGCTCCATGAATAAGAAGACAATGAGTTTGAGACAAAAGGTACCTTAATTTTTTTCTTCTTCTTTGTCGTTTTTTATCGTTGTCCGTGTTTTCTCTTTACTCAAATAAATAAATAAAAAGTGATTTAATATTTCTCAAAAAAGAAAGAACCAAACAAAAATAAAAATAATTAAATTATGAAACTCCTTTTACACTAGCAAAGTGGTATGTATATTGTAAGTATTTGCTTGATAATTCATTATTTTATTTAAATTTTTCTGAAAGATTTTTAATAAAAACAATATTTCGATTAATATTCTAATCTTTACCAGCAACTTTAACTGTATATTTCTGACGCAGAAAAAAATTTTACAATCGTAAATATCAAACAATTTAATTCCCTATCTATTGCGGCACAGCGCGTTCGATCCGTTTCTGACCAATAACTAATCGTCACACTTTTATTTTCAGTCTTTATTAAGTGTCATTAGGCATTATTAAGCAAGTATCGATGATGAGCGCCTTCCGAGCGGTAATTGCCGTGGATGTAAGCGGCCTACAAATTGAAAGTGGCCGCGGCCCGAGGCGCATTGATGGATCTGCTGCCATCGGGAAATTATAGCCGGCTTGCGACAGCTTCGCAAATTGTGCGTATAATGCTAGTAAATAATGTGGGTTTGCAATAATTCATAAGCCGGCGTGTCTCTCACGTATCGGCCATGTGTTCTATTTCATGTTTTACTTCATCGCTTCTAACCTTTTTGCAACAAAGTTACATTTTATTACGTATGATTAACACCGACAAGTTTTATTGGAGTTGAACATATCCTCTTTGTCATTTTTACAATAAAAAAAAGCCTTATACCAAATATTTATTGTTATGAGGTTATAAAAATAAAATTTCTGGTTCTCATCGCTGTTTCATCGCCCTTTGTCCACTAAAAGACGTTAAGAAGTCGAACGCGATCTCGCGCCCGACTCCAGTCGACGCATAAATTAAAACGCAGCCTATTCTGCAGACACAGACTGATTGACTCTTTTCATTACCGCGGCACTTTGTTCGTCGTGAGAGAAAAATCACACAGTCTTCGAGAATCACAACACATTTCATAATTATGGACTATTGTGGTGTTGTAGAGGCCGTATCGATCGAGAGTGCTGCGCTATCCTCGCCCGAGGAATGTCCGAGATATATTGGTGTACGTAAAGACCGAGTTTGACGTCGTAATGGCAAGCGCTGATTAGTTTCAAAGGAAATACCACTTCGAGGAAAGATCCAAGGGTTTAATGCATGTTAGAGGATAACTGTTATTGTTATATTGCCCGTGAGATGGCTGTAAGGGATTAGTTAGTGTTTGGAGGCGTCTATCTCAGCGATGGAGATTTCTTGTTTGGACAATGTTTATGATGGTGCGATTGCGAAATTATTGGCATTAATTGCGATCTTTGTCGGGCGGCGGCAGGGGCATTGTTCCCTGTAGATTATCAGTGGTGGTGCCTGCCCACGTGCCCGGTCGTGCCCTGCGCTCGATCGAGATCTTCCCATATCGCGCCTGTGGGAAATCTTACGATTTGTCTATAGTAATGGCTTAAATGTTTTATTGGTTCTGCTGGAACTAAGATAACGTATTAACTCGACAAACCTCTTTCGATTTTTGAATTGTAGTCATTTGGCAAATAGGATACTTACTTATTCGACTTTAACTATCTACTGATAGTGCGACA